GAACCAATCGGATTTTAATGTTTTATAAATATTATATTTTAATTAAATTAAATTTAGATTTTTAACTAATTTATAATTATACGTTTAGTATTTTATAATTTAACGTTTTATAAATCAATTTAATGATATTCATCATTAACGATATTCATCCGTAATCATCAAGCGTGACAATCATCCATCCGTCGTATTTATCTCTGTCTTTATACAGTTGTGTATAGTTATCGGTTTGTAATCAAACCTAATCCATCTAATTTGCCTAAGGATATACAACAAGCAAAAACGGAAGATGTAATATAACCATTACACTATAATAAAATAATAATAATAATAATAGCTTACCAAATACATCACTTTAAAAAAATAATACACCAATATAATAACTTACCAAATTCCTGTGTACCTTTTTTTCATCTAATTTAAGGATATACAACAAGCAAAACGGAAGATGTATATACCATTACTATAATAAATAATAATAATAATAAGCTTACCAAATACATCACTTTAAAAAAATAATACACCAATATAATAACTTACCAAATTCCTGTGTACCTTTTTTTCATCTAATTTATATTAATTTTGAAGTTACCTTTAGTAGGTGAGAAGGTAACCGGAGAGGTTGGGTTATAAATAACGACCCCATTACCAATTGTCATCCCAACAAAGTAAAGCACCAAAATCCCACAACACAAAGGCCAACTTCTAAGTACTAAATATGCCAATTGATAGCTCTTCCCGTAATGGCACCACCGTCTGTGTCACCGGTGCCGTTGGCTTCATCGCTTCTTGGATTGTCAAGCTTCTTCTTGAAAGAGGTTACACCGTCAAAGGCACTGTAAGGAACCCAGGTTGGTTGTAGTTTAAAGACCGAAGAACGACATTTGTCATTAATATTTGTCTAAGTTAGACGGGCTCTAATTTCTCTTTGGACGTTGGCTTTTCTGTTTAGATGATCCCAAGAATTCTCATTTGAGAGAGCTTGAAGGAGCGAACAAGAGCTATCTCTTCACAAAGCTGATCTTCTTGATTACCAGTCTCTTAAGGAAGCCATTAATGGTTGTGATGTAGTTTTCCATACTGCTTCACCTGTGACTGATGATCCTGTAAGTTGGTTTTTCCTTATTCCGCCTTTTTTTTGTTCTACTATATGTTTAATTTCGTGTTTGGTTCCAGGGAAATTTTGATGAGAAAATATAGAGGTGAATCAACTCTACTTCTGTTTATAAAAAAAAGCTGAAAGACACAGCTCAACTAAGGCGTGACATTGAAAATGTACTTGATATTGCTTTCTTACTTCGTCGACCTTATCCGCGAATGTAGTGGGCCACCATCCCAATAGCTAAAATTACTTAAATTCTTCTCCGGGAAATTCCTTTTACTTGAATATATTTCTGATTTTCTACCTTTTTTATTTTTTTTTCTCAGATTCTTTTGTCCTTAAATTTCCTGTCAGATTATTTAAAGAGAGTTTTGAAACTTGAAAGCTGAACTTGAGAATTTAATATAATTTATAATTATTAATTAAGCATAAAAATAAATCTGACATACGAAGCTAATCATTTACCTTGTTGTTTTTCATGGTTTTGAGCCTTTTCAGAATAATACTTTTTCCATTTTTCTTATTAATTTAAAGGAACAAATGGTGGAGCCGGCTGTGAATGGTACGAAGAATGTGATAATGGCAGCGGCGGATGCCAAGGTTCAGCGTGTGGTGTTCACGTCTTCAATCGGCGCAGTGTACATGGACCCCAACAGGAGCCCTGATGTAGTTGTCGACGAGTCTTGCTGGAGTGATCTCGAGTTCTGCAAAAACTAAGGTAATTTTAATTCAAGACTCGATATCAACTCAAGGCGTTTTATCCCAATGCTAATGAATTCATCGTCTTACGTTTTGAACTCCTACTTGAGGCAAACGTTTAAATTCCCCCATATATAACACAACCTGACTAATGGTGGATTTAAATTCTTGGTGCTATAGATTACAAAAGGAAACGACATTCAAATTGGGTTATTTTTATCTAATGTGGGATTGATTTGGATTACTTTTTTGGGGGGATTATTGTTTGATAATTTTTGCATTCGAGACTACTTCAACATTCTGGATTTGTTCAATAAATGAGTTAGGTTAAATGGTCGTAAACTGTAACACAAATGATCGGGAATAGACAATTTGGACAGACCTGGTCTTTGACTGGGAACTTTTCTGTGCATTTTTTTACCTTTTTTGCAATTGATACACTGAGAACATTACAATTATAAAAAATGAATGAATGATGGGTATACAAATTGCAGAATTGGTATTGTTATGGGAAGGCAGTGGCAGAGCAGGCAGCCTGGGAAACAGCCAAGGAGAAAGGGGAGGACCTTGTGGTGGTAGCCCCAGTTTTGGTGTTGGGTCCATTGCTGCAACCAACGGTGAACGCCAGCACTGTTCACATCCTCAAGTACTTAACCGGCTCCACAAAGACCTACGCCAATTCAGTTCAAGCCTATGTTCACGTCAGAGAGATGTTGCCTTAGCACACATTCTTGTCTTCGAGAATCCTGCTGCCTCCGGCCGATACCTCTGTGCCGAGAACGTCCTCCATCGTGGAGAGGTGGTGGAGATTCTGGCCAAGTTGTTCCCCGAGTATCCCATCCCTACCAAGTATGTCTTTTTACTGATAATTACTCACCCAAATTGTGTTCCCCCCCCCCCCTCCCCATATGAACGTTGACAAAATTGGTGGTCGAGAAACTTAGTCAAAAAACGACAACTTTAAAATTTAGGAAGTGGGGCAACCCATCTGCGCTGCTTGAAAATTAGCAAATTGGGTTTAAAATAATAATAATAGACACGAGGCATATCAAGAATCGTCAAGTATTAGTTGTTTTTTTAATAAAAAGGACATAATTTATAGGGCTCACCATGTGATATTTTAGTTTATTTAATGGCATAAAATGCTATTAGTGGAAGAATATGAAATATTTTAGTTCAGTGAAATAATTGATAAAGATAACGAATACCTGCATGCAGTCTTAGCTAGTTGGTAATTTCCAGTTAGATATGTATATGTGTTTGGTATAAGTCTATATGTTTAATTTTTCGACTTCTAAAAAAATAAATATAGGCATGGACTGGGGAATGGTGTGGGGTAAACCATGTTTCATTCTCAAGTGAAAGGGGCTGGGGGTGGTGTGCGGTAACCGGTGCTCCAGCTTTGACTAAATGACGTAAATCTTGCCTGATACTCCTAGAAAAAAAAAAGTGAAGGGTTTCTGTTTTTTTTTTAAAAAAAAAAAACAGGGTAGGTAACTATAAATTGTGGTTTAGAAGGATCTTCACCTACTACAAATGTCCCTGTCAGATTATCTGAAGAAAATTGGGTGAAGTGGATATTTTATTCTACCCACCCAATCAACTTCAATCATTCAAGGGAAATTGATTTATTCTTATAAGTGAAGCTTTGGTTTTGGTCTCTATTTTGAATATCCAATGTCACTACAATTTTTTAGTTTGATTTACATCTTTTTTATAATAATATCTCGATTATATAGGTGCTCGGACGAAAATAATCCGAGGAAAAAACCGTACAAATTCTCGAACCAGAAGCTGAGGGAGTTGGGATTGGAGTTCACCCCGGTGAAGCAGTGCCTATACGAAACAGTGAAGAGCTTACAGGAGAAAGGTCATCTGCCTATACCATCTCAACACCAGGAAGATTCAGTGATTCGTATTCAATCATAAAATATCAGACAATCAATGCTTGTGCTAAACTACCTACTGTTTATTAAGGGAAGTGGAGACGTGCACTATGGATGGCTACCATTACTGGGCCTGGATGGATGGCAAAAGTGTTAACAAGCCCTTTGTATCCGTTTAATCTTAAGATGGGTGCTTATTATTTAGCAAAATAGGTTATTGGGACTTAATAATCTGTTCAACATTTCTGTCTTGTAATTGAGCAACTAAATGAAATATGTGTAAAATTATAAAATATTATGTTTCATTTGCTTATAAATTTTGCTTTCTCCTCTCTTTATCAGTTATTGAGATTTGATTTCTGAGGTTATAATAATACCAATAATATTCCTACGTATTAGTCTAAGGATAAAAACACGAGAGGAAAAAACATTGGCCGAACAACTTATCTGTATTTTTTGTACTCCTCTAACAATTAGATTGATGATCGAATTATTTAAATTATTAGTTTTTTTATTTAATCGATTCAATAATAATTAAATAAAATTAAGATTAAAAAACTGAATACTAATTCAGCCGATTCATTCTACCAACATGATTTTTTAAAATCTTTAATCAAGGTTTCTTTTTTCTTTTTTGTCTTTTTCTCGCTTTCATCATTGTGGGTAGGAATCTCGGGTTTTTTTCTTCTTATTTTGGTTGCTTCATTGGATTGAAACATAGAAGTATGGTCCACAAAGCTTGCTAAACCTCCAATCCACAAGCCTCAAAATCCCTACGTCCTGGACATATCTGCACCAATATCCAGCTTCCTACACCGCTCTGGACAAGAAAGCTCATCCGAGCACCGTTTGTTCAACATCAGGCTCGAGTCAACACAATATGGCCCAAGGATATTGGTAAAAAGCTGAGGCCCAAGGGCCAAAAACTCAGTTGACAGACCAGCGCACCACCTCTTCGAAGTTCAAACAAATGACCATTAAATTATTGGTTTCTTACCTTCAAAAAATTTGTTAATTCTTCTAGTCCATCAGAGCACAGTCCTAACCTTAGTTTGCAGTTCATCACCTTTTGTAGGCCAATGCCACCATTTTACTGGTGTTGAAACCACTATTTTCTATGAGGGAAATGTTAAAAGATGGTATGGAAATCACAACATCTATTATCAAATATATCGCCATACTCGAATTGGCAAGGTTTTTCGATTCACACTCCTTTCTCTTTCCTTCCTACCGAGTAAATCTGATACTGTACTATTTAAGGAAAACAATAAAACTACGTCGAAACCTGCCTCCCTAATGTGAGGTATTGTCTGTTATTCATATGTCCTCCGTCTCCCGCCTCTGAGGTAACTGCATGCTTACTATATCTTCTCGAGGGAGACAGTACATGGATGAGTTACCAGAGTCGTTAACCATCTGTTGATTTTCGGGCGTAGTTAATGCCAGAAGGTGTGTTGCCTCTTTGTTTGGTCGGAAGACCAGGTAAGCAATTGCAGCCAAATAAATCGCCACCCCTGAAAATCCAAATATCCCCAAAAACACGACTGCAACAAGCTCCCAGTGATTGTGAAGAAGCAAGTGGATGAAGCTCGTCATAAGATAGTATATGTTTATACCCATGATCAGAGAACCGATGATCCATGTGATTGCGGAAACCTGCATAGAACTTATCGAATAAGTAGGCTGTTGGATGACAGAAATCAGAAATGGTCAGTTACAGATACCATGAAATGTACATATACTTTCTTCTAGCTATATATAGTTAATGTGAAATTATTACCAATATCCAAACGTCGACGGAGGATATATTCCATTCATTTGATTAATGGTTTTATGTTTTAAGGTTCTCAGCTATATAATTCCAATAACTGGTTAGTCAAGCAACTCCCTAGAACAAAGTTGGTAATAATACTTCTATCAAACTTGTAACTAGATAACGCCTTAGCCTTAAATTGGGAAAGAAAGGAACAGTCATTACCGCTATTGAGTTTACGTGTGCCTCCATCTTCGTCTTACTGCTGGTGAACTTGAGAAGTGGAATTAGAGCAAAAGGTAGCTCAAAGGATAAAATCATCTGCTAACACAAAATTAAGGTATAAATAACTTGCTGATGATGCAAACTTAAATCGTGATCCCTTTCCTCCATACTATTGAAAGTTCATCTCTTTATATTCCAACAGTTTATTCCAATTAGACAACCCAGGAGAAAAAGGAAAAAGGGAAACAGAAAGCGTTATAAGCAAGTATTTCATACCGAAGCAATGATAATTAGCTGTCCAGCCCCAGCTGAGCCGCCAATTACAGCAACAATTAAACTAGGTACAATGGCCAAGCATCGAGTAAGCATGTTCCGAATCCATGGTGTTAGCCGTAAATCAAGAAAGCCCTACAGAAACGAAGGGAATGGTTGAAAGAAATCAAAAAATAATGCAATAAGCACATATCTCGAGCAGGGAGCAATTGAGATACACAAGAGGCTTCTATATAAATTGCAACTATCAAGTTACTTAAAAGGAAAAAAAGACATCAACCAATCTTTTCTAATTGAAATATAGAAGGAAATGAAAGAGATAGAACGAAGTAATTTTTATCTCCAAGTGACATACATTTAGATTCAAAATTTCAAAATAGAATTGCATATGTTGTTTAATTCCGAAAACTCAAGGAAAATGACCTGCAAAAAGATGCCGAATAGAGTAAAAGAGTACCTGCATTACATATTGTCCGGCATATGTTCCTGTTATGGTAGAACTCTGACCTGATGCAAGCAAAGCAACTGCAAAAAGTTTTGAACTCCAACTGCCTAAGACATTCTGTAAACAACAATATAAACAATATTCATTTTCTGAATCGAGCATGCTCAGGAGAGCACAAAGATTATTTTAAGATAAAGAAACACGAGAATTATCAATTAAAACCCAAGAGGCAGGGAAGTAAGGGAACTAAAGAAATCTTAAAATGGCTCAGAACCACATACTCTTAGTAAGAATGAGGCTTTGTTCAGATCTAAATCCTCACAGCTATGTTTATCTTCTTGATTCAAATTCGTGGAATTGCAAACTGCACCACTTACAGAGATGACAGATATGTTAATGAGAAACGCCACCATCAAAGCAAAGCCACTTTCTATCATATAAAATCTGCAAGCCTCCTGCAGAAAAATGGTAATGCTTCAGATGTTGCTCATTGGTACATTAAAAAGAAATCATCGCTAACATATAGCACTTCATATTGTAGCGAATGATATCACTTTTGACTATTTTTTTAGTGTAAATTTAACTTTTAAACAAGCCTTGCGGAGATCATATTCCTAGAGCAATCAATTGACCAATGACAACTTTAACTCACTTCATTTGTTTTCGTAAACTATACAATTCAAGCTTCAAAGGAGGCTGATGTCGTAAGATTTTCAATTATGGTTGGCATGCAAGCACACTCAGATCACATTTCTAGTTGCACAAGGAAAAGCGAGTGCAAAAGTAGTCCGGTTAAAGAACTTAAATTTGCCCAAAAAATTACCTTAATACCCCGAACGGATCGTGGGATTTTCCTGGAAAGCACCAGTGCAGAGTGGAGAAAGAGATTGTGCCTGTAAAAGGTCACAGAACTGAATAGATTTACAATGGCTCATATGGAAGAAATCACTAGAAACTAGGAAGAATAACGACACCTACGGCATAACCATAGCTCCAAGGAGTGAAATGGCTAGACCAGTGGCACCATTTCCTCTGAGTTGAGGAACAAAAAGGCCATTAAGAACTTCACTAGCCACAGGCTTTGCATAGTTAAGCTCCGCAAAAAAGCACCCAGCAATTGTAAGCACAAGAAAAGCGATAAAAAACTCAAGCTTCCTAACCTGAAGAACAGGGGCAAATGCTTGAGCTTATTCCAAGTAATCAAAATCCGTGCTAAGTAAACATGTCAATAAATATGTTTTCTTGGTCCAATAACACAGAAGAATGAACTCGAAATCTGCAGATCGACATACCCCATATTGCTGCAATGCTAGAAGAACCAATGTACTGAGCCCTGTCAAAAGGACACCAATCCAAACTGGGATGTTGAAGAGCATGTTCAACGCAAAGGCTGTGCCAATTACTGGACAAGGAACGGATCATAAGTCATAAGCAGGGAAAGAGCAAATGAGTGCTGAAGGAAATGAATAATAGATAATAAGCCCCAGGCTAGCATCCACTATTTCCCAACCAACTGTTATCAATAGCTTTAGAAGGCTAAAAGTCGAAAGTAGGAAATGGAAGCTTAATGAATCATAAACAAATATTTAACCAACATTAAAATGAATGAAATGTCAACAAACCTTCATTTTCTTTAATATAAAATATAATTTCTTATGTTATTTCCCTTTAGGGAAATTTCCAGTTAAATTAAGACATTCATCATGTGGTGATAAAGACCTCAGCTTTTTAAGCAAAAACGATCTATAGTCACCTTCAGGAATATCGCATGCAACAATAGCTATTTCAGCAAGAACCCATAAGACGAAATTTGGACCTCTAGGATATTCAGCTCTGCAGTGTTCTGCTAAATGCTTCCCTGCAACAATGAAATGAAAGCAAATATCAGTTGCAAAATATATATAAATATGTAGTAATATACGCTTCCCTGCAACAATGAAAGCAACAATGAAATGAAAACAAATATCAATAGCAAAATATATATAAATATATAGTAATATACACCTGTGACAACACCCAAATTGGCAGCCAGGGACTGAATAACAAGAGCAGCACATGAAGCCACTAATATGATCCAAAGTAACTGCAAGAAAGATAAAATTATCTTAAGAGGAACCGAGGAAGTAAATTTTTGGAATTTTTTTCCAAAAAGAGAAAAAAAAACGAAGGAAAAGAAACGAAAGATTAAATAAAGAGAAGCTAATAGTAGCTTCCTCACATGTACTCAATGTTAGCGATGTCTATTGCAGCTCAAACAGACTACAATAGGAGACCCTTTTCCCATTTAAAGTAGTTCCGGAAAATGATTTTTTATATAAATAATACCATTACTATGGGACACTTGCAAAGTAACAATAATAATAATGACGATGATAACAAAATATAGAAATTGGCAAGTTTTACAACCCATGGGATGACTTCCCAAGTATTTTCACTCTATATCCCGACTCTCCTTTGCAAATGGGAGGCGCTACCAAATTGTCAAATTCTGTTGAGAAAAATGATAATCGTTTGCAAACCAAATAACTACAGTAGAAAGTACTCACTCCATACTTGTACTGCGCTCCGGCTTGGAGATCAGTTTCAACTATAAGACAAAAGAGTAGAGTTACAATAATATAATTATGTAACTTTTCTGAATACAAAAGATTTCGTAAGAGATCAGTCTTACAATTTCCAGGATCAATATATGCAATTGAAACAAGGAATCCAGGACCCATGTATGCAAATAAGTTTTTCCAGCTTTTTCTCTGCATAAATAAAAATGCCAGCAATAAAAAATTCATAGCTCCAGAAAAAAATTAAATAATCATACAAAAAGCCATAGTAAATTCTCAATTAAAAAACAATATGAAATCTTGTTTTTTAGTAATAACAGGAACTTGTTCAGGAAAAAAAACTGTAAAATTCATATATCATGGTCCAGTATAGAATCCAGAAAAAATACTTCCAAATTTTAATTAACCACTATGTGATGATCAAATAAATAGGAAGAAATAGCAATAAGTAAATATGAATAGCGAGTCCACTGGAAAATAGAAGAAGAAACATGGATTAAACGCTTTGTTAAAATAAATCTTTAATTTTCTAACTATGTCTTAATGATAATACAATTATAGTGATTGATTACCCAAAAAAGATAAAGAACCCCAGCTAATATTATCAAAGATATTGACATATTCATTCCAGCAGCAGCAAAGCAGACTTCACACGACTTTAAACAAATCACAGTATGTCATGCAAGTTTTGGAATCCATAATCGACTCACCTCATCAGAGACTATTCAAACACAATCTCTTACCAAATCCTTCTATGGAGTAAAACAATCGAAAAAGTCATCAGTTAATTCTTAAATTGCCCACCTAAGATGACACTAACTGTCCTTCCTACATATCGGACCGTTTCATATATCGAAATTCTTTCCAAAAAAACACCTATAGGTCATTTTTCAACTAAACCACCAAATAATTCACACTCAGAATCTCACATCAACTTAATCTCTCTCTCAATCTGAGTCAGGGTTACAACAAGGCCACCCATCAACTTAATCCAGCCATGTCAACACTAAGAAACCGTTTCAACATTTTACGTTCCTTATTAAAAAGATGAAATAAGTTTCAACAAATGTAGGAAACCTTCAATTCAAGGAAAAAAAAATGGATAGAATAAAAGATTATATCATGAATGAAAAATCAAACTCACGTCAGGCACCACTATTTGATTAGTATCTGCATTCTGAATCAGCGGGGTATTTGAGAAACTGCGGTTCCCGGTACTAGCAATGAACTGGGGTTGCCCAGAATTAGAACCCATCCTACTTTCTTTTTCCTCTCTAGCCTATTTGAATCAGCTTAAGAGGCAAAAGAAAAAAAATACAATCAGTAAATTGAATGAAAAATGAGCATTAAATTTGAATCAGGCACAAACTCAGAGTAGAAACCAAATACTTGCAAAATGAAAAAGAAGAAGAAGAGTTTTGAATTCCCGTGTGATGGCGAAATACCAAAGGCTTGAAAACAAATGACGGTAGACAAAGAAAAAGAACGCAGCTTTGAGAAGGAATCTTAAAATGTCGAGCAAAGAAAACAACAACGTTAGAACTGGAAAAATATTACAGAAAAAAAACTCGATTTCCTTTGCATATCAATAAATCCAAAAAGAGAAATGAAAACTACATATAATAATATATATATATATATATGTGTGTGTGTGTGTGTGTGTGTGTGTGTGTGATGGTTCGTCTGTCAAAGGGAAATCAAGAAATGGGCAAGATTGAGATAGAATTAAAAGGAAAAAAGAAGAGAAATTTTTTCCTTCCTGACAGGCACATGAAAATAGAAAGGAAAATAAGAACACAAACCTGAGCCCAGGGGAAAATGAGCATAAAATCGAAGGAGCAGAATGAAAAAAGCAGAAACCCAGAGCTGTTTCCCTCTTAGTTTCGTCTTGGTATGCAGAATATAATAGTATGGTAATGCAACTCTTCCTATATATAGAGATTTCTTAAATTCTATACTGTTTTCGCTGACGGCTACTTATAAAGGCTTCGGCTAATTGGCTTAGCTTTTGCCTTTTTGTGGGGCTCTACTCCACAATCCACGACTCTTTTACTTCCTTCTCTCTCCGGACGAACAGAATCGAGATCTCACCCTCCACAGTCTCTTTACAAAGTACAAAACTTAGCATGCTCTCCTCTGGATTCACCTCTAGAATAGTCTTCGTGAGCCTACAATATAGGCCAATCACTCTATAATTTCGTTGTCAGTTGAAGCTTTACTTTTACATAGAGTTTGGTTCGCGAAAAAAAAATTATCAAAGAGAATATTTTTTCTGAAATTATATTTTTATGATTGGTTCAAAAAAAATTATTATCACGGAATACTCTTTTTTTCAAAGTATAATTTTTTTTTGTCTATAATAATGAGAATGTCATTACTTTTCACACCTTTAAATAATAATATCATTGGATTAATAAATTCTTTTTATAATTATCCTTCTCGATGTCTATTTTTTGTGTTTTATTTAAAATTATAAATATTATAATAATATACAAAGAGTTTAATTTACTAAAATGTTAATAAATTTGAGAATTTAAAAATATAAACATTGTTAATATTCAATATATTAATTATTTATAATTTTATGGGATAAAAAATAATATTATTGTAAAAATATACTTATTTAAAGTAATATTTAACTTTAATTAGTAAAAAAATGGATCTTATATATTAAAAAATAATATGTTTATCATCTCAATATCATAATATTATTTCTCATATTATATTATATTTTATATAAATAAATATCATACTTATGAAAATTATTTAAAAATATAAATTTAATATACTAATTATATTAAATGTATTTTTCTCAAAGTTAGATAGTATTACGATTAAAATACTTTTATGAATTTTCATCCAAATATTTATAATTTAATATTAAAATTTAACTTTAAATATATATATATATATATATATATATGTATATCACAAAGATAATTTGGTAAAATATCCATCCAAGTAATATTATATTCCTCCTCCCAAACACTTTAATTTTACATTCCTACTAAACAATGTAATACATCATTCTCATAGGAACGTTGCATTCCAATAATGTTATTTCCAAAGTAATCTTACATTCCGTGAACCAAACGCACCCTTATTTTTTTCCAATTTATATGTCAAAATTAACTATTAAAAGTTATAAAATGGTCTCTTGATTATAAGATGATATTTTATTGAGTCCTTCGACTGTTAAGAGTTATGAAATTATCATTCGACTATTCATATATTCAAAACTTATATTTTTTCGTTAAAAATTTGACAATTGTCTGAACTAAACATTAACATGTTGACTTGGATATGGTGAAATTATATTTTAATGATGTCTAATAGTATTGTCATTGCTTTCAAGTACTTGCTCGGCAGTATAATGTTTTAAGCACTGACTCGACGGTATAATATGAATGGAAAAAATATTCAAAAAATACTGCTCAAACGGTTCTAAGATCATATTTTATCATATCTCAATCGACAGGTTAATGTCCAACTTAGACGGTCATCAATTTTTTAATAGAAAAAGACAAGTTTGAAAGATATGAATAGTCGGTTGATGATGTTGTAACTTTTAATAATTGATAGACTCAACAAAGCAACATCTTATAATCAAGAGACTCAACAAAGTAATGTGTTATAGTTAGGGGACCATTTGTGTACTTTATCCAAATTTTAAACATTTTCTATATTAAACTTTTTTTTAATAGAAACCATCAGTTTTATTTTAAAAAAAAACTAAATTACAAGGAATATTTATAACCGAAAAATATTTTTTAATTTAACATCATTTTATGATTAATCGATTCAAATAGTATTAATCAAATACATCACGTCTGGCACTCAGATTAATTGGTGATCTGGTTTCTAAAATACAATTATGATAATGAACCAAGGGTTGTGATACATTCAACAAGAAAAAATGAAACGCCAAATATTCATTCAGAATCCGAGTTCTCTTCTTCTCAATCTCTTTCACATATTTTAATTATTGATAATTAAGTTGATGGATGACAAATTATCAGTATAAGAGACATTTTTAATATATCCATTTGATTTTTTATAAACAAATCAAGACTCCCAGTCTAAAATTATTTATTTATAAATAAAAATTATAAAATGTTATTTATAGATATGTATGAATTTAATTAAATTTAATATAATATTAGACCCATATATTATTTTATAAATATGTTCATTAAAAGTAATATATATTTATAAATTTTAAATATAAATATAAAATAAATGAATAGATCTAAAAAATGTTGTTGGTTCTCAAAACACTTTTCTTATTTTCTTTCAATGCTTTCTCTATTAATTTTTATTTTTATTTTTTTACAACTACTTTCATTGGAATGTTAATAATATACATTTGATATTTTTAATTTTATTTGACGTTTAAACGTGTAGATGTGTTAATAAGCTTTTTATATTTATAAATTAAAATTTTAAATTTATTAATTGAACGTAGCAAAAATAGATTTTATCGATTACGTAGAGTAAATCGTAAAATTAACATGGCGTATCTTTATTTAATATGATATAAGTAGATGTCATTTTTTGGGTAAGAAAATGAAAGCTTATCAGCTAACTACCTGAATCATATTAACCACCGTGTGCAGTGGTTCGTGGAGAAGATGTACTGTGATATCCTTGTTGGATGTTGTCTTGGCTAGGGTGTCTGCTACTTGGTTACCTTTACGGGGGACATGTCGATATTGAATAGTCCAACCTCTCCTTTCGATATTTCGGATATGTAACATGATGGCCGGAGAAGCAGATGTCATTGAGATTAGACTTGCAAAAATAAATATATAAATTATAATTAAAGTTAATTTTATGTATTTAATTTTTTTATAAAAAATAGGTACTTTAAAGTTTTCTTGGATACATTTTTAAGTGTCTAAATTTCTAATATTATATTTTTAGGTGTCTAAACTGTAACGACCTTTAATTTGACCGTTAAATGATACATGTCACACTTATGAAATTTTATTTAAAAAACACTTAAAAATAATTTTTATTTTAAAAAAACTCCAATATTTTCTAAAATAATAAAAAACCCAAAATCTCAAAAAAAATCATAATTTCAATCCCTTAGCACCGTCAGCCGCCACCAACATCGTCAATCACCCAAATACACAACGTTGTTCAACCGACCAACTACCCAATGACCAAAACCCCTTATTTTCATGACCGACCAAACACCCAATGGTTGTGTAAAAACAAGATTTCGCGATCGGCTAAAGTGATTTTCCACGATGCAATTGTCGATTGGTAGCTGCAATTAGAGGGTTGAAGCAATGGTTTTGATAGTAGGGTGTTTGACCCGTCTCACACCGTTGAAATTTTGATCGGTTGGCGAAAATTGGCGGTGATAAAGGGATTGAAATTAAGATTTTAAAGAAGTTTGGTTTTTTTTTCCTAATAATTTCAGAAAAATGAGTTGTTTTAAAATAAATTTTAAAAGTGATTTTTTAAAAAAATTAAAATTCTATAAAAATCGACACATATTATTTAACAGATGAATTTTACGACTGTTACAGACACTTAAAACTAAAGTTGGAAACGTTAGGCAAAGTGTAGGCGGAAAAACGTTACACAACTCATTTTTAATAAAAGTGTAGGCGGAAAAATTATTATTTTTAATAATTAACTTTGGAAATACTTCGAGCTCCTATTTTTACATTAAACCTTTAGATTATAACATTTTTACTATAAAATAATAATTTATCTTTGTTGGAGTTAATAAAACCTTTATCCAACACTCCACTTGTTCACAGGAAGTATATAATCCAATTTAATCTGTAAAAGATTTTAAAATGTTTTATATTATAATAATGTAATTTATAACTAATTTGAAATAAATATATTATTTTAATATTACATTAAGTGTGTGAATACAAAACGAATAAGTCTTAAAAATTGAATTAAAAAAATATATAAATAATATAGATTAGTGTCGGAACGGTTCTTAAGTTTTTTGGCGCTTATGACGAGGAGTATCCAACTTAAATTTGGGAAAGGTTGGGTTTTAAAATAAATGCATAAATAAACAAATTTGGAGTCACCATCGACCTTTGGGTTAGGTAGGTAGAATACAATAAAATATCTTTCAAAATATTTTTAAGAAAAATAATTTTAAAAGATAAAAAGTGATCCACGTTTAACCAGAAACTCATTTTGAAAAGGGTTCGGGAGTCAATTACGCATGGGGAAGGATTAACACCCCCACAACGCCCTAAATCGGTACCAAAGCGATTATACGTCATCTAAATGTTGAAATTGAAAAACTTGAATATACATTTAAATTGTGATCCTTTTTAGAAAAATTAAAAGGGATATTATTTTGTACGAACAATCCTCGAAAATATCATCATAGTCAGTTAAGGGGGTGTTTTTATGGATTCCTCGTACAAAATTATATTACCCTAAATTTTTTAGATACAACAAATATATAAAATAGATAAAAAAACAAATTCATTTAAAAATAAAAGATATTATTTTATTCGAGCAATTCTTAGAAACACACTCCTTGTCAGTTAAGGGGTGTTTCCATAAATTCCTCGTATAAAATAATATTTGAAAATATTTCAATTAGCAAGAAATTTATAAACATGTAAATGAAGGATTAAAATAATAAATATGATAACTTTAGGGATTAAACTATAAAACTAACAAGAGCTTAAGGCAACTATTGCAAATTAACTAAATAACAAAGCAGATAATACAAGAATCAAATATTACAAGCACTGACAGTGTAATAAACCCATACGTTTGGGACCAAAATGAAATAATTCAATATTACATGCCAAAAATTAAAGCGATCAAAAGTGCATAGCTTATGGTACCAAAATGTAACACGCACTGAACATAGGGTCAAAATCAAAAACTTTCA